AAATCAACGGACATATTAATCCTCCTCTCTTTAGTATGATTCCAATAGAAAACATAATCTTTGATGAATTACATGCTCTCTTACGAATTACTGATAGACTCTGGGAATTGATGCTTGCAGAAATCCAAGAAAATGGTTTGTTTAATGATCTGACACGAAGTGTTATTTTGGGTGAAATGCAAAGATTAAAAGTGTCTTTTCACTTCTGGGAAGATGAAAAATCTCACGTTTGGAAATATACATCTCTTATGGGAGATGACAAAAAAACTGTTTTGCAGTTTTTTAATTTAAAATTACTCTTCAAACCTTCTCGTGCAGAATTAATTCGTAAGCTTTGGGATGGATTTTATGAATTGTATTGTGCCCTCCGAAATAAAAATACAGATCCAGCACAATTAAAGCAGCAATCTCTTGAGTGGTTATCTCTGTTTCTCACTCCATCACAAGGAAATCCTTCTCGTCCAAAAACATATGTTCGAGGATTATATATGCCAAATCAGATAACCCCTTATATGCATGCATTGGTTTATCACGGGTGGGAACTTTTAGAAAAGCATAAAAGATGGGGTTTTAAAGCATTTTCTTGTTCTGCTGTTGAGAAAAAGAACCATAATCAAGTCTCTACTTTTTTTCGTAAAACACTCAAAAATGGTGGTGATTTGCTTAAACGAAAATCCGCAATACAGGAGATAATAGAATATGAAAATAGATCACTTTATTTTAATTACAATGTATTATCCAAATCTCCAAAAGTTAAGAGAATTCGCATTAAATAAAAAGAACAATTATATTTTATTAATTAATTTTATTTAATAAATACTTTTATTTATTTAGGCGCATTTTTGTATTTGGTTAGTTATTGTAGTTAATTAATATATTGCAATAAATTTTTATTAACGTGTTTTACCAATTTTAATTTTTTATTTTTATTTTTTTTTTTACTCTAATAAGTGATAGAGTAAATACTATATGTCTATAACTATAATACAAAGGATTGTGAAATATAAAAATTGAAATATATATACCCTGCTGTACATAAATTTCCATTAATTTCTCTTGATACACGTTTTTTCCATTCCACTAAAATTTCCCCACGCGAAAATTTTGGCCGCCTAGTTTTCTTGTAATTTTTAGATTGTTGATGAATCAATTGCTCAAGAGGATCTATTTCTTCTGATTGATCATGTGAATTAGAATTCCACGGAGTAGGATTCAAACATACAACATACGTTTCTTGTTTTTGCGAATAACCTTTTTTTCCCCATTGATCAGAATTCAAAATTTCACTTAAAATTTGATATGCACCATCACCATGAAAGATACATTTGTAATTTCCTTTTGCTTTAGAATAATAATGAATATGTCCAGAAAAAATGGAAAAAAAATACTTTCAGGACATAGTATAGATACCAACTTCTTTCCTATAGACCTAAAATTTAAAACCAATTTTTTGTGTATCTCCATCACCAAAATTTCTTTAAATTCGGAAATTGTATTAGCAGGCACATCATCAAGACCTTGGCGTTGATTATATTTTTTAATTACCCTAGTGTGTTGTGTTAAGCCTCGCGAACTTTTGAATTGTCTTCCACAAGTGGAACACAGAAAGAAGTTACTTGGTGGAGGAGTATGGGGAGGAGTATGAGGAACCGTTATCATGCTGATGGGTAAAAGAGTGAACGGCTGTTGATGAATAAAAAGTTAATAAATTTGACTATATAATTAATTAGTTTCATATTTACTATTAGAAAAAGCTGGTTTTTAAATACTAGTACCGTAACTATATAAAACTTTACAAACAAAACGCGTCCAGCTCTTATAAAATGTATAAATGCAGTTCTTCTTCGTTAAACTCTATGAAAAGAGATATTTGTAAGTTATTTTCAATAAAAGTTTTGGCTTATAATCGCACAGCTTTGTCATTTTCTTCACCTTCAGAATCCGATGGGTTTTTGCCAAATCTAATGGGTTTTTTTTTTATTAGGGTGTTTTGAGGTGTTTACGAGGTATTCTTAGGTATTTAGATGAGGATCAACACGTTTATTGACCAATAAAATTTGAAAATTTGTCACACACGAATTCCTAAATAGGGTCCAAAATCTGCAGATCGGCGGATATGATACCTGGAAAAACTATAGGATGATTATCATTAGCAGCAACACCAGCATCAGCAGTAGCTGGAGCAGCTCTATCTGTCGGATGAGCACCAGCACTTGATTGAATTTGCTCGGGTATTTCCATCCCTAAAGAACGTAAACATTTACTTGTACCTGGTGTATTAGCCAAAAATGCAGATACCTGGATTAAATATGTCTTTCGGGAAGCTTATGGACTTTCTGGTAAAACCTTAGGAGCTGACTTTCAGGACTTCTTAGCAAAAGTACAGGGTAGGACTGCAAAGACTGAAACTCTGAAAACTGAGAATGTGAAGGAGTTATTCTCCCGATATGAAGCCCTGAAGTCTAGTCTCCCTCTGGATAATAAAAAAATAATAGAAGGTATTGAAGTCCTTCTACAGATCTTTTCTAAGAGTCATATGGACCGTTGAGCATTACAAGTAGGGATTAATAGTATCTTGTGAGAATATCAAGTAATTCGTCTGCAGAAGCTCTAAGAATCATAGCACTTTTTTTACGGCCTTCAAAGTCAATCCTTAACATCTTAGCCTTCAACCCTATTGCTCCTAAAGCACGAGAAGCAAAGTTCTTAGTCATTGGATTACTTATATGATTTACATAGTTCTCATAGAATGTAGTGAAAGGCTTGTCTATACCATCTGTATATGTATCCCTTAGAAATTGATATAAAGCAATTTCTCCACTGTCACAACCTATGGCTATAAGCTGTTCGAGAAGTCACTTCCTAATATCTTCATATGGCTCTCTGTCTATAATTTTCATATCCAGTCTTTGTGTTAACAATTGTGTAAAGTCCACATTACTTGCCTGATGAATGATCTGAACTAACTTATCCCTAGCAAGTCCCAAGGCTTGTAGAGGGTCATTCTCTTCACTAATCTTCTTTATAATCTGTCTTTATAATACACTGGATAATCCTCTATGTGCTGTTTTTGGAGTGATTACTCCACAGTTTTGGCACTGGTTTATTACGATTGATGTTGACATGGAAAAGAATTATTTAAAATTAAGTAACTATTCAGAGCAGTCCTTGCACAACTTGTCCGTTAAGTCACTTGAGCTTACAGGCATGAGACATTCCCTACACAACTCAATATTAAGCTCTGCAAGTCTCAGGATATGGTCCTCCAAAGTTCGTGGACGACCAGAAGGACCGGAGGAAGGTATCCCATTAGTCATATCCTGCTGTAAGATAAAATCATCATATTCATCTTGGTCAGCCTGAATAGCAGCCCTGATTTCTTGTATATCATTAAAAGTTAATCGCTGGCCATCAAGATTTTTCTCATTATAGCTTGTTTCATTGATGATTTCCTCTATAAGCTCCTCTTCTTCATAATGGACAAGGTAGTAGTCCTCAACTACCTCATAGTCACTCTCAATCAGTCTATGATATGTTCTAGTACCACATCAAACATAACGTCCTGTATCTGTATTTAAATACACAGGTTGCTCCTCAGGTGGAGGTGCAGTTTGTCTACGGACAAGCCTTCCATCAATATAATCATGGGATTCCATAACTATTCGATTAAAAGTATCTCCACCAATAATAATTGGACGTCCAGTTATAGGGTTAGCTATATAAGGGTAAGACATGTCTTTTTTCTGTATGTGTCTACATACCTAATAGTTTTCTTCAATTTATAATAACCAAGTGACATGGTCATCAGTCCTTATCAAAAAATACAAGAATACCTGATGATAAGGTTACATGGTCATCAGTCCTTGTCGAGAAATGATAGGATACCTGATGAATAAGTTACTGGATTATTGGCCTAGAATGCATTCATAGAAAAACTATGGATTTTATTACAGAAAATGTGAACGGAGTTCATGTCATGTGATACCCTGAACAAATGTGTAGAGTGTCACGTGATTTCATGCGGTACGTAGATCATTTCCTTTTTGGGCGATTTCCTTTCCACAAAAAATCGATTTTGGTAAAAATGCGTTTGGAATCTTGTTTAACATAAATTTCCTTTTTCGGTAATTCGGGATTACGCGGTAATGCCGGCCGGATCTATACACGTGACATCCAATGGACGTCCGGGAGGTGTCAGGTGGGTTTACATTTATAATATAAAAAATATAAATCTGCAAGTACAAAATGCTTACTCCTGTTGAGTCCATTCATTCCACTCCCAGTTCAGTCCCCAAGGATCGCCTCCCCATCTATGTTCACTTAATGCATACTCTATGGTTTCCCTCTCTTGGGGGTTCACGACCATTTCATTCCTAAGCATTTTCTCCATAATATAAAGCTGATTCTCGGTAAGGCGGTCTATCCATCTTTTATAGAAGTCATTTACATCTTCAAACGTTATCCAGTCAATATTCCCTTTTTCAAATGGCTTTCCAAGAGCTTGGACATGCCCAATTGTAGTAGCGTAATTTTTCCATCTCTAATATGCTTCTTGACAAACCTCCTACCACCACACACTATCTACCTTACTCGCTGCAATAAGGTCAGTATCTGGAATTTTTGTAACAATGCGTTCGACTATTTTTACTGGTAACTGGTCCAACATGATGTTATGTTACTTATACTATAGCTATCTTCAATTACTGTATGCCTATTACACATGTAAACTAAATTCATATAGGAGCCGCTTATGCAAGAAGTTCTGCTAAGGTTTTCTCAGCCTCATTTGTAGTGACAGCTCGCTTTGGGGGACCTGTTGATGAGTCCTTAATCACATTATAATACAACTCAAAGAGGGCCTCAAGCTTGTCCAGGAGATCTTGTTTATTCTTGTATGATTCACGAATCTTTGCTATCTTAGCAGTATATGCTGCATTATCTGGGAATAGTTTTCTGGCCACGAACTTCACATATGATACAGGAGATTTTGCCATCTGGATTCTCTTGATATACTTCACATGATCCTGGACAAGGTAGCTGGTTTTATTAAACCCAGATATTAATGCAACTACCATAATATCTTTCAATGCACGAGGACAGTTTCATCAGAGACAATGGTGAACTGATTGCGTGTTGCATCATAAATAACTTCATCACTAATGCTGTCAGTGCTGTTAATAATGCTTGCTAATTTTGTATATGTTGACATGATTCCTTATACTTTTTTGTACTTTGTAATAAATAGGAATCTTCAAATTGACTTTACATTCAAGCAAGAAAAAATATATATACCTGCTGTAAACTCAACCACATGGCAGTATCCTGCGGTTTCAAACTTGAGAGCTTTCAATGCTTTGGATGCATTTTCTGGACAAGTGATAAGTGTAGGACTACTCGGCTGTTCCTCTAGAATAAATCCATCTGTATGGATGCGTCGTACTTTATCCTTATATGGTTCTAATAACTCTGAAGTCGTCTTCCGTCCATGTGCTAATAAGAATGGAGCGATCCTAGGATACTCACCCTTGAAGGGACTACCTGGGTTTGTGAACTGGAATCGCCACTGGTCAGATCCTACTGGTACGATGGAGTCAAGTGTGTGGCCTTCTGGAAACTTGAATGGATCTGTTTGATCTGTGGTGAGTGTCTTGTAATTGCGTTTCCTCTGGCAGAGTGCTCCCCATAGTGTATTGAGAACTCTCTTTGCAACACGACCGGCCACGCCACCCTGGTTCTTTATATTGAAGAGAAAGTGGACATACTCACCAAATATTACAGTCCCAGGAATTCTTGCTTCTCTGTCATATATCAAGGCATTTGGCTTTCCATCCTGGATTAACTGTATATCGAGACCAAGTTTCTTTGCTTGTTGTAAGTCAATGAATGTATAGACTCCCCTCTTATTCTGTCGGAAGAGAATGCCATTACCACTTACCTTAGCACGAAATAATCCATACAAGGCATAACCTCTGTGGTCTACAAAGTCTTTGAGTATTTGAAACTTACCTTGTTGGATTGGAAAGTTTGCATTTGATTGCTGAATACTTGGATACAAACTTGTCACGTCATATTGTCTTCCATAGCCCTTTCATTTATTGTCTGCCCAGATAAGACCTCCCATCATTGCATCACTTATCCACTCTGCTTCGACTGGATCAAGAGAATCATTAGCTGGAACTTCTACACTAAACCGTTCGAAAAGCCAGAGAGCAGTTCTCTTGTACGACCAGTTATGATAAAATAAGTCAATTCCTAGACCAAACTTCTTTGTAGTCTGTAGGAAGAATTCTCGCCCTTCATGGATCCTCTGGTATGTTTCCTCAAGTATTTCATATATTCCAGTTTTACGATTCTTCTCAATAGGGATAAAGGAGTAACTATCAGAGTTCTTGCTTTCTGAAACTGTCCAACTGTAAGAGACTTAACTGTCTTACCATTGTATATTGTTATTACATTATTAACCCCATCTTTACGATAAACAAAGGGAGACTTTTGTTTTCTATCTAATTTACTAGGGTGGAGTCTTCCGGGATTCAGTGCAAGAGAGTAGTGGCCTTCAAACAGGATGAGGGTTGCACGTCTGTTAGACTTGCTCTTGGAAATTCCAGTGGAATTCCCTACAATATTAAGTGCAAGGCTTCCTGCAAGTTGTTCAACCTTATCCATATATGAGACTGGAACTGGAGCATCACGATTGAGACCTAATGCCTTTTTGATATATTCAGGCTTTTTTATGGTCTCGGGTATTTTAGAGAATATACCATAAATATGCTTCAGGCATTCATACAGGCAATCATTTAGCTCTCCATTGCATCCCCCTGCAACCGGTGGAGCATCTCTCACATAAATTATGAATCGTTCAAAGTAATCAGGATCTGCATCATCTGGTAGTTGTGCTTCATCATAGTTAAGGTTGCTTGCTGAAACCTAGGGGTTTAGGCAAGATGGCGTTTCGCCAAAAAGCGAAATTCTGCCGAAACTATATTAAAGTTATATTAAAAAACTGGCGAAACTTTGGAGAAAGGCGAAACTGCTGAAACTTATTATAAATGCCGAAACTGCTGAAACTCTGCCAAAACT